AAGGTAGATTCTGGTTCAGCCTCTTTTACCGGAGGCTTACACTTTGACTGCTATTTTGCCTTGGACACCTCATCTACTGCGAACATCTCTCTTGCGGCGCATTGCTCCCCGTACACAGTGACGACCCCCTCGGCAGATGGGAATTTCAGCATTTGGTGCAGCGTGGACGGTACGGCCCCGATGTCGTGTATCCAAGGTCTTCCGAGCAGGGCGTTGTACCTCATATCGCCCTTGATAACACAGAACTTAGTCGCTTTTGTAACTCCGCCCACGTCGATCATCAGAGTTATTTCCCCTCGCGTTGTCTCCGTAGCCATATTAAATCCATTCAATACTCTCACCTCAGAAATTATCTGCCCTGTCAGTCCCAACTGTTCGACGACCCACGACCGAATTATGTTAGCCGAGCTTCCGGGATCGACCAAGACACGCTTGACTTTAGTGTCTCGGACCATCATGGATATTACCAAAGCGTCGTTATGGGGTTGTGCTGGTCCATCGATTTCCTCGTTGCTAAAACACAGTGTTCCCTCTGGTGCATAATCCCTGATCCGCTTCTCCCTTGTGATCGATATCTTGGTACGTTTCAGTATTGGTACTTGAGGTGCGTCTTCCCCTCCAATTATCATGTTTATGGTGTGCCGGGGTTCCTTCCTATCAGCTGGTCGATCTCGATTTTCGTAATGATTTTTGGCCCGATCACTGAGAAATTCTCGAAGGTAACCTTCATCGAGCAACCGGGCAACTTCCTCCCGCAGTTGCCTGCAATCTTCGGTTCTGTGGCCATGTGTGTTGTGGTACTTACATATTAACTTGGGATCCCTCCTCGATGGATCGGACTGTACGGGTTTGGGCCATCGGGCTTCTTTGATACGTCCGATCGCCGACACCAAGGTAGCCGAATCGACACTGAAATTATATTCAGCCAATCGGGGTGCTTCCTGTCTATCGACGGCTTTCCCGAGGTTGGCCTTCGGTAACGGTCTTCTGTTCCTCTCATAGCCGCGGTCGTTCCTCGTAAATTTAGGCCTCCTATCATCCTGATACGGCCGATATCTTTCCTTGTTCGGTCTCGAATCTTTGTAGTTTTCCCTACGAGGTCGATCGAAATTCCTATGTGTGGATGGTGAATCCGAACTTGCTCCGCTGTGGTCGTCCTCTACCCTTATCTTCGATTGGTACCGGTTATGGATGTCTGCCCACGTAACTGCTGGAAACTCGATCAGACTTTGCTTTAATTGCCTGGATGCGGCTGAGCTGTTGGCGTTCAATCCTTGAGTGAAGGCTTGTACTGCCCAGTCATCCGTGACTGGGGGAAGATCCATCCTCTCCATTTGAAATCGAGACACAAATTCCCGGAGTGTCTCGTTTATGCGCTGTCGGACCTTGAATAGGTCGGATTTCCTTGTTTCTACCCTGATCGCCCCGGCGTGAGCTTTCACGAAGGCATCGGCTAACATGGCGAACGAATCGATGGAATTTGGCGGTAAGTTATGATACCACGTCATTGCCCCCTTGGACAAGGTTTCTCCAAACTTTTTCAACAAAACTGACTCGATTTCATCATCTTCGAGATCGTTTCCCTTAATCGCGCATGTGTATGCTGTCACATGCTCGTTTGGGTCCGAGGTCCCATTATACTTCGGGATATCGGGCATTCTAAATTTCTTAGGGATAGGTTTTGGGGCGGCACTGGATGGGAACGGTTTTTGTACAAACTTTTTAGCGTCAAGGCCTTTCAGGACCGGAGGTGCACCTGGTATTTGGTCGACCCTGGAGTTGTATGTTTCTACTTTTTTATTGTTGGCCTCGATCTTTTCCTCCCCCTTTTCGATTCGTTCGGTCAATTCTTCTAGCCTCCTAAGAACCGCAGAATCAGCATCCGGCCCACCCCGTTCCGGCTGTACTGGGGTCGGATTGATGATTGCAGCTGCACGGGGAGCCTCCTCGGACCTGACAGGCTCCTGGACCCGGCTCTGGAGCTGAGCTATAGCCGATTGCTGGGCTTGCAGCATGTCAAAAATCATTTTAAGGTTGATAGTCTCTTCGCCGACTGCCTGGGCCCTCGAATCGTCCTCTCCCCGGACGCTATGTGATGATCCGGAGGCCTGATCAGTGTTGAGCGCCATCCGGGAATCGGCATCTATCGGGTTTTCGAGCCCGGGCATTCCATTGTTTCCTGTCTGCTGTTCAAGTTCGTTGTTGATTGATTGTGCCATTCTATGAGTTGGTAATTTGAATGTAAGATGGACTCTTTTGCAAAGAACCAGTGTATTGTGATGCGTCAAGAAAGAGTATCAAAGAGCTCACTAATATCCTTAGCCCCACGGTGGGCGCCAAACTGTTTACCCTTGAATCCGGATAACAATTGAATTTATATGGGGTTTTAAGGATCCGTGAACTAAAAGATACAAAAGGTTTAGGTTGAGGAAAATAAAGATAAAGACTCAACAATTGCTGTTAAAGTAAATAATCGCAGAATATAATATTGCTTAGAACAATTGTGCTTGATGCCTACAAGAATTTAGAGGGATCTCCCCTTTTATACATTCTGATTAAGGGGTAAAAATAAGGTAGGTAAATTAATTACATCGTGGATCCCTGTAATTACGCCTTAATGGCCTGAAGTGGTTGAGAAAATCACGTTTGGGCGAGATATCCGGCGACGCTTGGTTATCCGTTACGAGTCCGGCTTCCGACCTTGTGTGTTTCTCCATCCGGTGGTGACTCATATCGAGCTCTGCCACGGTCTCGAAATGACTCGACCTCGGTTGTAGACGTGGCCGTCGTTCTACCTTGCATCCAGGTCGGGTTCGATGGCCCCGACTTGCCCCGGACCGGACCCAACCCGGTCGGGCTCAAGCAAAAAAGGGTATCACCCAATACATTATTCTTACTATTCCAACTAGTCAAGAGCTTGGTTGGTTACGCTGCCAAAAATTATTTATTTTGAAAAGTATTTGTGCTTTTCCAAAAAATAATTTCGGAGATTAGCAATTTGTATTTGGCTAATTCATTTGAGAAGTACTTTATGCTATATTTGATAAGTAAATTGTATTTGGCTAATCTTTTCAAAATTACTTTTGATGTCAAATTACGATAAAAGACAATAAATGTTTAGAGTACAATTATCATTATTCAAAAAAGAGAAATTTTAAATATTTGTTATAAAAAATTAATTAATTTTTTATTTTATTTAATTAAAGTATAAAACGTAAAGTAATATGTATTAAAGATTTTAATCAATATAAGATATAAGTATATAAAGACAATAATATTGGTAGGAATATATGTGCTTACAAGTTACATGAGAAACACTATCGCTTTTTGAGAAAATAACAAACTAAGTGCATACGTCAATTATATTATATGCATGCACGCCAAAAAAAAAAAAATTACTAAAACTGTAAACTGGAGATCATATAATATTGGTAATACGACAAAGGGAAAAAAAAATCATACCTTATGAAGAAAGTGCTTGAAGCTGGTGATTAGCCTTATTATTTCAAAGAGTAATAGGAGACAAACAAAAGAAGAAACGGCAGAAGAGAAAATAAGAGATCTATTTGTAGTAGAAAGATTATTCCAAATAGGATTAACAGTAGAAGAATAAAAATATGATAAAAATAAAAAGAGAAAAAAGGGATGGTAGATATTTTTAAAAAAGTAAAAGTTAAATTAAAGGGATAATTTAAAAAATATAATTTTATGGTAATAATATTTTTATCTTGAAAAAATTAATTTTTTGCTTCTCAGAAGAAGCTAGAATTTGTAGCTTCTTCCCAAAAGCGAAAAAAATGCTTCTACTACTGCTTAAAAACGCTTTTTTGTTTTGGCCAAACACCTCATATTTCCAAATAAATACTTATTTCGGAAAGAAAAAAAAAAGTTGACCTCCCATAACTTGGCCAAACAGGCTCTAAGTATCAATTAAATGAAAAATTTAAGGAGAAACAAATGATAATTTACGCAATTACTCTTATGATTAGGGTATTAGATGTCTTTCTTAATTAAGAAGTGTGCGAGAACCTTAGAAAATTAGTAATTTACACCAAAGTAGTATTTTATTTAAAAAAGATATAGAAATGGAAACCAATAAACAATATAGATCTGCCGAATCTCCAACCTAATTGACAAGAATATTCACTAAGTCGTCGTTGTGTAATTTCTCTATTAGCAACTATATCTGTCACTGAAAAAAAAATTAGTGGATTTACATGTCAATCTCCACTTGTTTGATTTACCTATTTAGGTCATTATATCCCTCTTTGACCACACCGATAAAATAAGGAGGGTTGAGGAAGTAAGGAAAAAACTTTTAAAAATTGTTTTAATATAGAGGAAAAGTTTAAAAAAAATAATAAGAAAGAAAAAAAGTAATTTATTTAGAATTAGAAAAATGATATACGACATAGAAAAGAAGAAAGAAAAGTCAAAGGTTTTGTCCCAACAGATAAGGGGTAATCAAAAGTTGTCCCGGAAATGAAGAATTTCTTTCTTCTTCTTCTTCTTTTTTTTTTTTTATTTATCGGCTTTTCTTTTCGATCTTCTGGTACTAACTATTACTGATATCTTTAGAGAAGCAAATGGCGTGGCAGACCAATTAGCCAAGAATGGATGTAATTTAAATATGCGTAGGAGCCTAATTACTTTTGTTGCTCCACCTACTTTTGTTGTTTCTATTTTCATAGGGACAAACTAGGCGAAGTAGGAACTATGTATCCTATAAGGATCCCCGTTTGTAACGATTGTTAGTATGTGTTTTTAATAAATGTCTTTTTCACCAGGAAAAAAAAAACTATTACGATCAATCACTTTCATCATCGGTTGCTACCATCACAAATCACTTCCAACAATCATCATCAATCACTTTTACCACCTTCATTGATCACCTCTACCACCAATTACCTCTAACATCAACCACATTCACCATTACCCTTCATTAATCCATCATCAACCACCTTAGGGTTGGCTAAAGGTCCAAGCCATTGAGCATCTAGATGGCTCTGTATAAGGCCTTATATGGGAGGTGATGTCATTCTTCGGTTGGTTGGTTTGATCCTGGGGAAGCTAGATTGCTTGGTACAGATTTTTTTCGTGATGCTTTGGAGAAGGTGAAATTGATTTAGGAGCAGCTTTGTTAGCACAATCAGGCATAGGAGTTATGATGATAAGAAGATTCGTGATCTGGCTTTTACGGAGGATGAGAAGGTTCTTCTTCGAGTTTCGCCAATGAAAGGCGTAATGAGATTTGGGAAGAAAGAAAAGTTGAGTCCTTCGTATATTGGTCCATTTGAGGTGTTAGAGTGAGTGGGCGAGTTGGTCTACAGACTTGATTTGCCACCTAGCTAGTTTTTCGGGAGTTCATTCGGTATTTCATGTTTTCATGCTTCGGAAATATTATGAGGATCAGTCGCATGTGCTGGATTTCAGTTCAATGCAATTGGATGACAAACTTGCTTATGAAGAAGAGCCACCGGCCATTTTGGATAAACAGGTTTGAAAGCTAAAGTCTAAAAAGATTGCATAAGTGAAGGTTCAGTGGAGAAGTCAACCGTTCGTGAAAATGACTTGGGAGATCAAGCATGATATGCGGAGAAGATATCCCTATTTTTTTGACATCATAGGTATGATTGTAAACCCGTTCGAGGACGAACGTTTGTTTATGAGGGAAAGAATATAACAATCTGACCGGTCGTTTTGTGTATTTGAGCCCCGTTTTTCCTATTTGATGTTTTCCATATGCTTGATTGTTGTTTTGTGACTTACGAGGTTGATTGGTTTGGTTTCGGGAAGATTCGGGAATGAATTGGAACACTTAGTTCTCTTGTTGGAACCTTAAGTTGTAAGAGTTGACCCAGATTTAACTTGTGCGTAAACAACCTCGGATTGGTGATTTGATGGATCCAATAGGCCTGTATGATGATTCTGGACTTAGTTACATGTTCGGATTATTCTGGACATCCAATAAGATAAGTGTTAGTTATTTAATACAAAATATACAAGTAAGGATAGTAAGGGAGTGGGTTGAGATGAACATGGGTTGACTGTAGCTTAGGCCCAATTTAGCGTTAACAGATCAACAAAAGCTGCAAAAGACGGTGACATGCCCATTGAGCAGAGTGAGGAAGAAGTAGGGTCCAATGGTGTTCATGCAAAAGGGAGAAAGAGGACAATGATTAATATACATTCATTGTAAAATTACAAACGAAAGATAAAGAAAACGCTACAATGCTTAACTATAAGGCAAAAGAAAGGGAAATGAATCAAGCCAAAAACACAAAGTGATTTATCAGACAAGATAAATAAAAATTAGTCTCCTGGAACTTTGTCTAAGGCTGGTAAGTGTTGAATTTCCTTTAGACCCTTAACACTTCAGAGTTCACGAGGGTCTCATGAATCAGTTTAATTATCGTCCAAGGCAACACACATAACCAAATTAAAAGAATCATCCATTCGCGCTTTTTCAAGATTAGTCATGACTTTAAGGTATGAGATTATAATCAACCTAACACTGTATACCAATATGAAAGGACTACAAACTTGATCTAGCAATGTGAGACTGCAGATCATTCATAGTAGAGGCCAATCATCTCAACCTAAACATGCATTTTGTACTAGCTTATGGCAACTATGTCTTAGCTACAAAAATCATATCATAAATAGGTAATGGTCATGCTGGCACGTAAATCACATAGTTGTATTAACAGCTTACCCCAAACGAGAACACTGTAATTCAGGCTAATTGTAATGGACTTCAATGAAAACACACAAGAAGACAGATTAATTTCATATTAATCGAAGCTACTGATATACTTAATGAGGTGTTGGAGATGCAGTCTCTTTATTGAAATCAGAAACTCAGATACATGACTTGAATCGAAACCAATAATTATTTACGAAGATCTAAACTCAAAGTTGTTTGCCCGTAAACGGTATAATTGAATTTGTAACGTACTTTATAGACATGTAGATTAATTTGATCCAAGAATATGATATAAATAAGAACAGAAATGAGATTATTAAAATAAGGCTAATGGTCTTTGGGTCACTTAAACTTGCACCGGGTTTTAAAGATGATATGTGAACTTTCGATTTTCCCATTAAGCACCTCAACTCGATAAAGATACTTATAATAAACCCCTCCCTCGGACCGTGTATCTCAATTGTCTAACATGAATACCACGTCAGATACTAAGACCATTTAATATTTGAAATTTGTAATATCTGGGTCCCATCCGGAACTGCCCTCCAGAAGAAACACCGCTAAAACCACCCGAACCACAAGGCCTTTTGGCCTCCCTCTCCTCGTGCTCCGGGCTGCGAACCTTCTCTAGACACCTAGCAATATCAACCACCTCATTGAACCTAGCACCTGATGCAATCTCCCGAGTCATGACGAAGCGCAACCCAAAGTTGAGGCAATGAACCACAGTAATAGACTCATGTACTCACACTCTCAGAGTACTTAATCTCACTCATCACACTCAATCACATAGCAAGCTCATTCGCTCATCATTCTCAATCACTCAGCACTCGCACTCAGCACTCAACGGTACCTGCGGTCACTATTGGTATGTCAGACTCCAGAGGGATGGATCCTGCCCAAGTGCTAATATAAGCCAACATAGCATGTTGTGCTGTGCAGCCCGATCCCATAAATTTATCAATAAAGCCTGTTGTGGTGTGCAGCCCGATCCCATAAATATCACTCATAAGCGGCCCTCAGGCCCCGACGTAGTCATCAATCTCCCCAGTCTCTCAGGCTCATAAATCTCATGCCAATTAGCATAAATAATGATAACATGATGTAACAATAAATTATAATAGAGACTGAGATATGATACGCAAATGATGAATATGACTGAGTACATAATTGCAATTTAAGCAAATAACTCAACAGCATAAATGATCTCAGTGGGTCCCCACAGAATAAGCATATAGCCTAAGCATGATTTCTAACATGCATCGTAGCTCAATTACTCTAGCACGTAGGGATTGCATGAATAGCAACAAGATTTGATAACTACGCAGTACCACGGAATCAACCGAGTCACAATTATCACGGTGCACTTTCACACGCCTGTCACCTAGCATGTGCGTCACCTCAACACCAACCATATAACGCGAAATCCAGGGATTTATAGCCTCAGTACCAAGTTCAGAAGTATTACTTGCCTCAAACCGCGCAAATCACAACTCCAACAAGCCATTGTCAGCGAATCTACCTCTGAACGACTCGAATCTAGCCACAAATAATTTAATACAATCCATACAAGCTATAAGAATCGATTTCATACGATAAAGCTAAGTTTTTTAACCAAAGTCAAAATGTCAACCCAAAAAGTAACCACGGCTCACATCTCGGAACCCAACAAAATTTACAAAATCCGGACACCCATTCAATAACGAGTCCAATCATACCAAAATCATCCAATTCCAACCTCAAATCGCCTTTCAAATCCTCAAAATATAGCTTATGAAGTTTTCCACAAATTTCCCCAATTTTCCAACCTAAAATACTAATTAAATGGTAAAAATAATGACTAATTCATGTATATTAATCAAATATGAGTTAAAATCATTTACCCCAATCAACTCCTTGAAATCTCTTCAAGAATCGCCCAAAACTGAGGTCTCTAGCTAAAAAGATGAAAAATGGGACAAAACCCTCCATTTGGAAATAATATACTGCTGCCCGGTAGCCCTTCTTCGTGAATGCGGAAAGTGCCTTGCGTTCGCGAAGCACAAAATCCTCAGCTGCCAAAAACCTCTTACGTGAATGCGAGACCTCCCTCGCGAACGCGATGACCACTAAACCAATCCCTATGTGAACGTGATCCATCTCCCGTGAACGCGAAGACTTACAAGCCTGGTGCCCCCATCGGCCTTATCCTTCTATGCAAACGCGAGTCCTCTCTCGCAGCCGCAATGCAAAAACTCCCTATGCCTTCGCAAACAGGTGACCTTGTTCGCGAACGTGAAGAACAAACTTCACTATTCACCCAGATACACTTTGCGAACACAAGACCTCTCTCGCAAACGCATATAAGGAAACCAGACACCAGTAGTTCAGCAACTCTACAAGGCCAAACTCAATCCGCACTCAATCCGAATCTCACCCGAGGCCCCTGGACCCCATCCAAACATACCAACACATCCTAATGCATCATACGAACTTAGTCGAACCCTCAAATCACATCAAACAACATTGAAAACACAAATCGCACCCTGCTTCAAGCCTAATTAACTATTGAACTTCTAACTTCTAAAACAAATGTCGAAATACATGAAATCAACTCCGATTGACCTCAAGTTTTGCACACAAGTCATAAAATGACACAACGGACCTATTCAAACTTCCAGAACAAAAATTCGAGCCCGGTAACAACAAAGTCAGCTCTTTGTCAAACTTCTCAACTTTCCAACTTTTGCCAATTCAAGCCAAAACGACCTACGGACCTCCAAATCAATATCCGGACACATCCATAATCTCCCTATGGAGCTATCGGAACCATCAAAACTACATTCCGGAGTTATTTAAACCTAAGTCAACTTCTAGTCAACTTTTTTAACTTAGGCTTCAAACCTTGGGACTAAGTGTCCAAATTTATTCCGAACCATTCCTGGAACCAAGCCGCCCACCACGGCAAGTCACATAAAAACAAATAAACATAAAATAAGTAATAAATGGGGGAAGAGGGGTACAATACTCAAAAAGACCGGATGGATCTTTACACAAACACCACACAACTGCAGCGTGCAACCCAATTCAACAGCTTACCATTACAGCGTGCAACCTGGTCTAACATAAAATTATCGCGACATGAAACCCAATCCAAGCATATCAATCAACATAAGAATATTCGTTGAGCAATAATTCTCTTACTTACCAAACACATGTGTGCAAACAACAAGCACTTAAGGTGCATAAGCATAACCATGGGGTGATGGATGGTATAATACACTACGAAAAAAGATAGGCAAGACTAAGGTGCAATAAGAAAATCGACATTCCAAGGTCCATCTTTCTCATGCATCGCCACAAGACCTAAATGGGGCCACAACATGCATGTGAATAATCAAGTAATCTCACAACCCATCATAGCATTAGAAAGTAATGCATAAAATAGGTCAGGGCATTAATAAGATTAATTACACCCAATGACACATTGATAGTAAATGTTGTGTTGGGTAAGCAAATCCAACCCAGTGTAGAATACCCATTCTCATTAGGCTTACCAATAGCCCCCTAACCAATCCAAACTTTTTCGTATTAAGTAAATAGCCTTCACAAGTCAATAGTGACCTTATCCATGACACATAAAATCAGCTGTAAATCCCTTTTTTCATGCATCACGGTAGAGTTGTTGCTTATGCTTCAAGGCAGCTTAGGAAACATGAGTAGAATTACCCGACTCATGACCTGAAGTTAGCGGCTGTCGTATTTGCTCTAAAAATATGGTGCCAGTATTTGTATGGAATTCATGTTGACATATTTACATATCATAAGAGTCTACAATATATATTCAAGCAAATATAATTGAATTTGAGACAGCTGAGATGGCTCGAATTGTTAAAGGACTATGATATGGATATTCTATACCACCCTAGTAAGGCAAACGTTGTGGCTAACGCGTTGAGTCAAAAGTCTATGGGTAGATTAAGGCAAGTGGAAACTGATATAATTGATATGACTAAGTACTTGTACTGGTTGGCCAATTTAAGTATACGATTACTTGGTACCGGCGATGGCGGAACCATAGTTTAGAATACCGTTGAGTCCTCATTAGTGGTTGAAGTAAAGGTATGACAATTCGATGATCTCATCTTGGTGAAAATAAGAGAAAGCATTCCCTTTCAGAAGAAATAACTATTCGAGCTATCCGAGGACGGAGTCCTTAAATATAAGGGCCGGTTGTGTGTGCCCGACATCAGGGGACTCCAAGGACAGATCATGGAAGATATTTACCAATCCCGGTATTCTATTCATCTGGGGTCAACCAAAATGAATCATAACCTTCGTCAGCTCTAGTGGTGGAACGACATAAAGAGGAACATTACCGAATACGTCGCTCAGTGTCCAAATTACCAACAAGTTAAGGTTGAACACCAGAAGTTAGGGGGATTGCTTCAGAATCTGGAAATCCCGACCTGGAAATGGGAGCTAACCAATATGGATTTTGTTATTGGATTAGC